GTGTTATAAAATCATCATTTGAGACGTAAGTGATCTTTAAATTATTTTATCACAGCATATCATATATTTCAAACAGTTACTTATAAATACGTAGTAGCTTTTGATATGGTTTGGAAAAATAAAAAGTTCGAGATAAGTGATTGTGTTTTTTAAATTGCATTCTCATCTTTTTTATTCTATTAACCTAACTCTAATTCCTTATTTTTATGCCCTGGGAAATATCATTTTATGACAGTTCAATGAGTTTTCACACAAAAACCAATCTCGTGGAAATATAGAATGAAGACCATTCTTACCATGGACAAGTCAGTATAAGGTAAGAAAAAAGGGGGGATAAAACTATGGAATGACTAGTATACTGAACGTCAAGATATATATAAAAAACATATATGGCCACATATAATGGATCCTTTGTAGAAAATCTTTTCAAGTGGTTATTATGTACATGTAAGTAATTGGTGTTTGGATGTCATATGATATAAACATGTAGATCCATGCTCTTTGCTATTATTCTATATGTGGTAACATGGTAGATTGATCATTTGTTGTTATGAAATATTTGTTTTGTTTGATTATCAATATGAACGTAAAATTCATCAAAGATACCAGGCTTGTAATTAAGTACAGCTAAAAGCCATTTCGTCAACATAAGTTTAATCAATAGCGCTCGAATCATTTGAAATGTCAAATCAATTGTAAAGTTGAAATGCGATAAACATTATCAATATGCTTTGAGTGTATTTCTTTAGGGTATTTAAGGGAAAAACCTTCTTTGTCGATAAAACACATATATGAAAATCGTTGCTTGGATTTTGTGTTTAATAAAAATGACTGACGAGTGTGATGATGATTCGTTCCTATAGTTCTTTTTTTTTAAAATTTGTACGTAAGCCCCCGTCACACTGACTAAGACCAAGAAGATCACGACGATCTATAAAAAAATAAGATCGCGGTGAGACCGTGGTATGGTCGACTTGAATATTCATTATTTCATAGTTTTCAAGTTCATACAACGACCTTGCTATGATCCTGATAAGATCCTGCTACGATTGCGCTACGATAGTAACACATTGTAGTTACGATCTTGTCGTCACCCTCTTACTACGTCTAATAAGACCTTACCACGACCTTCCCGATCGCATTACAATCTCAATATGAATTTACTACGATCGAACCATGACTTCACTACGTTTCCACTGCGTTGTCACTGCGCTCTAGAATATGGCTTCATCAAATAAGTTCTCAACCCAAAATGCGTCGTCACCCAAGATGAAGTATGGCATGTTCAGGTCGTCATTAGGTAAGGGATCTGACTGGAAATGCAAAAGTCTTATCTAATGATAAAAAACCTTTATAGTTATGAAAAAAATATCCACTTTTAGACACGGCGGCTTCTAACATCTACATGCTTTCCATCTAGTGCGCCACAAGCGTGTGGCACGTTTCATCTTCTCTGAAATTCTTTGGCAATAGCTCGCCATTCATTTGGTTCTGTTGGACAGGATATGACTTCATTTTTATATTCCTGTACAATTGCCTGGCAAACATCAAATATTTCTGGAGACATCCTTAAAAGACTTAAGAATGACTGTTGATCCTCAATCCTTAATTCTTTCATAAGTCGGTCGTAATGCCCAAACTGGAGTCTTATTTCAACAGAAAGTCAAGGGTGTACCCAACAGAACCAACGCTGTCTAGTATGTCTTCTCCTTCATATAACTAAAGAGTAGCCTGATCAGTCAAATCGATACAGGGCAGCTGAATTAAAGATTGCAGAAGTAAGTTTTGCTCATGTGTGTCCATGGTTGAACTACAGGTAGAAGCTATTGCATCCGTTTTTTATATCAACAGAATGAGGTCATGTTATTATCGTGTCTAGGACGTAGTAGTACCGTAGTTAGGTCGTACTAAGGACGGCAAGCGCGTAGAAGCAGCGTACTATTGTCTTCCTCGTCGTAGTATAATCGTATCAATATCGTAACAGAAGCGTAATAAAGACGTAGTGAAATCGGGATAGTTACAGTGAAATCGTAGTAAGGTCGCAGCGAAATCTTTTCTTTTGTCTTCCCGATTTCACCACAATCTCCAATACAATGCTTCCAACGCCAATCCCGATCTTACTACGTCTTTACTACGTCCTACCTACACGTCTACTAAGACCAGTTTTTGGCCACGACTGCACTACGAATGTTTTGAGGATGTTCAAAGTTGGTCGTGGACCTCCACGACCACGAAGACCTTGGCACTTCCTACTACGACCTTACCACGACCACCACGATCGATCTTACTACGACTTCCAAAATTTTTCATAATTTCTGAGGTCGTAGCGGGATCGTGGTCCTAGTGTAGTATACAATTCATAGTACGATAACATTTTATTTTTTAATTTACTTTGAAACCTACACATCATTTTTTTTGTACAATAAAGTATATATTTTTATTACACATGATTATGGTATTTATGTGACACCCCAAGTCAGGAACCTGTCATTCAGTGCTTGTCGTTGGTTCATGTCTGCCATATTTTTTTTCGAAAGCAATATTGTTATAAGTTATGTCGTTAGTTTTTTCGTTTGAATTGTTACACATCTTTTATGTCATTGCCTTTTATAGTCTTTCTCTTATTGACGGCCGTACGGTGACCTATACTAATTGCTTATTTCTTCTTCATGTGGCGGGGTTAAACAAAGTTGTGAGCGCTCATCCCTCCCCTAACCTGCGATAGTGGTGTAACAGCACAACATAAGAACAGTTGCAAATGGCTTCACTCAATACATCGGTTCAAAGCACAAAAAAAAAACTAACATAAAAGCAAAAGACATAAAGAACAAAAAACATTAATTAATCCATAATTTATTCATAGCAGTGAAATGTTCAATTCTTATAGTAAAAAAAATATTAATTATTGTATATCCAATCTTCACTCGTTATGAAAACTTTAATTTGTATTAAGGGAATCTAAATGCACAGCCAAACGGACTTCCCACTTTAATTGGCGAGGGTTTTACTGCCGGTCGGAGGAAGAAGACAAATAGTGACCATATTTCTATTCCCAAGTCACCCTTGGGGGTATTTACTTATTTAGTTACCTTGTGCTTGATGCATATTTACTGTTTGGGAGATAATGTTTAATTGAGTGGAACCAATGGGACAATCAAAGCTCATATTGAAGAGAAAACAGACCTATGGTTTAAATGCAAAAACGACGAAAAGACAAAGGTTCACAATACACTACACAAAAGGATTTTTTTTATATGTTAAGAATTTTTTAACGTGTTATTTTCATTAGAGTGTTGTGTTGCCTCTTGACCATAATTTCTTTAATAAAAGAAGAATGTGTCTGAGGACACGAATGCCCCCCGCTTAAGCTTTGCAATTTTTCAAGTTATAAAGGGCCATAACTCTAGAACGGTGCCCCAATTCGAACTCTGTCTTTGTGTTGTAGTTATTAGCAGTGTGTATAGGCTTCATAAAATTTGAATGAGACACACTTAAGTTGGAGTGCGGAAGCTGAAAAATTGGCAATTTTCCAATTTATAAAGGGACATAACTCTAGAACGGTAAGTTACTCACTGCTAAAATTCGATCTCTTGTCTGTAGGTTTTGGTTCTTAGCATTGTGTATGAGTTTCATACAGTAAGATGAGGAAAACTTAAGTAAGAGTGCATAAACGAATATATTGCAAATTTCCAAGTTATAAAGGGGCACAACTCTAGAACGGTAAGTGACTCACTGCCCAAATTCAAACTCTGTCTGCGCGTTCTAGTTTTTAATCATTGTGTATGAGTTTCATAAAATTTGCATGAGGAAAACGGAAGTTAGAGTGCGGAAACGAAAATGGGACGGACGACGGGGGCATAAACATACCCATATCATAAATTAAATCACACGGAAGTCTTACATCATTCAAGGTATAAGGTTTAAAATATTCTAAACATAATAAAGACAGTAAAATTTTCAAGGAAAATATATATGGAAGGGAAGTTAAAACAGAAATCAAATTTAGTTCAAATTTTAATAAGCCCTTTTTTTCCTCATTTCGTATTTTACTACGAATGTCTGATCGTAACAACATATGAATGTATTTCCTTACGTCGAAACATTTTTCTTAAATTGAGTAGTTCTAATGAACTGAAACATATAGATCCTCCTCCTATGTCATTTCATTGTTGTTTTATATAAGGTAACAAACAAATTTGTCAATAGGCATTTCCCAGAAATTATATCCTGGTTACTCTATCGACAGCATCTAAAAAAGGATGACAAAGGAAAATAGTCATGAATGACAGAGCTAGTTTAAAGAGATAGAAGTTAAACCGCATTTTGACTGTGTATTTTGGGGTAGCCACGGCTTCATTTTATGCCGTTAGAGTCAAAATGATATTACTTTTGTCTTCCGTAGTTCTTTCCTTACACAATGTATTAGTCCATTCAGAAATTACCCTTGAGGGATATGATCCAGAATGTACAATTCAAGATGAAGACGAGTTTGACTTCTATGAATGCAATGCAACTTTTTCCAGCAAGTACTATTGTTCATTATCATTGGAGCAACACAATTGGCTAAAATCGCTCTGGCAAGAGGCAATAAAGGACCGTTCCAATAAACCTCGAAAGCGGCGAGAAATTCGTGTATTAAGCGAGACGGAAAGGTTAACTTACTTCAGAGCTATAAATCGGTTGAAAACCGATACGGTATGTATAGTTTTGTCTTGCTTTATTTTAATTCGTACTTTTTCGTATGATCACTGACTCTATAGACAGTGCTTGGTTATTCACATTAGAAGATTTCATTAATGTATTATGAGCAAGTATATTCATTCATACGATCAAATCAATACACTTTTTAAATTCAATCACACATATAGTTATATATGAATCATTTAACTGTCTTAGGAAAAAATCGGCCCTATTCTAGAAAAGTTGTCACTAATATCAATAGACAAGGCTAAATATATGAAATCAATACCGAATTCTAACGTCTTCAGGAATGAGAGCGTGACTCCGACGTCCCCTGTGTGTATGGAGAGCGGAAATAAAACACGCTCTCTGCACGTTAAAGAATCATTACATCAACGCACTGAGTGTTGGACATAGATGCTGAAAGCTCACCGTCTCATCTCGGTCAGTGAATGAAAAATAAACGTGCAATGAAGATAAATCAGAAAAAAAATAATAACGTTATATGGGTATTCAAAATAAAATTTCAAAACGACAATAAATCATATGCGTAGCATACAGTTCCACACCATTAGGTTTTCTAAGTAAATGATCCAAAGAAGATGAACGAATAAAATATTTTATAAGGACAAATCAATTATCAATTTTTAGAAACTGCCTCGGTGGTCTCGTGGTGGCGTGCTTGCCTTGTGTGTGAGAGTAGTCGGTTCGATTCTCATCCGGGTCAAAACTAATTGATATTTGCTGTTTCTCCGCTGCTTATTTAGGATTAAAAAGGAGTAAGAGCGAATACTGGTCAGCTCGGAGTCAAACTAATGTGTTCAGGCAGGATGGCATTTTTTTCTACGGACTATTCATATTGATCAGTTTCTCGTCCCGATATTCATGTGATACTTTCCACTTGACGTGTACTAAAAATACAATTTCTATTGATGTAATCTAAAGAGCGTTTGTCACCCGGATTAGATAAGCGGATGGTATATCAAATTTTGAGAACAGTAATAATCTTTGATTTTTATTTTGACATCGTATGTTTCAAATTCATAAAAAAAAAAGTCACACGGAAGGACGAAACGAAACCTCAATAAACCTTTAAAATGTTAATGCGTCAACGTTTCTTAAAAATCATTCATTCTAAGAAGTTTTTAATTGTTAAACGTTTGACATCACCAGATACTTCTATGATTTGCCAGTATGCGGAAATAGGTATTCCACAAAATAGTTTCGTTGTGCAATATTCAATTTTACATTTTATCTCCAGCATAAGTTCATATTTTTTAACTTATTGGTGGCTGCTTAACGTACAGCAGCAAATATAGCATGCATATATATTCAAGACACCATGTTTTTTTCTGATCTGTAGCAATTCGATGCGCTAAGCCGGATATTTATAAAGAAGATATGTCACCAAAATCCGCGCTATGTCAATATAACACAAAATAGAAAAGTTATTGAATTTGTTATTTTCAAACAGTTTATTTCTCAAAGACGCGTCATACTGTTTTGGTACATGTAACTTGGCATTTTTAAAGAATAGTTTGATTGTTGGCGTTTAATGCCACATTCAGCACAATTGGCTACGTTATGGGGGCTGGTTTTTATTGGTGGAGGAAGCCGGAGTACCCGGAGAGAACCATCGACCGTCACGTCAAAACTAACAAGCCTAGGCAATTAAGATCGAAGTCGAAGGCACCTTGTCACAAGCGGGGTAAGAACTCACAACGTCAGTGTTGACAGGCTAAGGATTACAGAAGATGGATTACTTAGACCAGTCGGTCATCGGGGATCCACTGTTATTATGTATAGCAGAAATCAGGCGGGAAAACCTAGTAAGTTTGAATATTTTTTGACAAATACTTCATTAAAAAGGAAGGAATAATTGAAGGATTTTTGTAAGAATATAACTCTAGGTGATAAACATCCATATAATTATAAATTACCCAGGAACATACAGAACAAACCCTGTTTAATATGATATGTCATATGTCCGACGAATAATGTGTTCTGTGTTTCAGTTTCCTTTGTATTTGTTTACATAAATGCATACTTGGATAATTTAAAATAGACATTATTCTGGTCACTAACGTTTATTGACTTGTGACATTTCTGAATACTATAATTCTCAATAAAGATTCTATATTTATCTATTTGAAGTGGTTATAGTGAGCTAATAAACAGTAAGCCGTAAAAGGAGATGTACTATATTTTACTCAACACTGACTTTGACGATTAGGGAATATAATTCTTATTCTTCTGTGGCACTTGATATTTCATTGGTTACACAAATGTAAGCGGGAGAGTGTTTTGTCTTTGTTTTCAGTGTTAATTCATTTTCACTATGTGAGACTTTGAGACAATTTTTGCCAACACACCATCAGTCTTAACTGAATAGAAAAACATTATGTCCACTTCTCATTTTTCTGCGCAAAACCCCAATTAGTTTTTTCCAGTAAATCTGTTAATCGAAACTCGTCTTAGCTCATATCATATATAAGATTTTCTAAGAAAAGTTTATATTCTTGAGTGTAATCAAGTAACTTTTGCAGTATTTACAGTTATAAAAAATGCACATTACATTAATTTTTATTCATGTCATTAATGTCTCTACAGACGATAGCACCAAATAAATACGATACTTTAGCAATGGTTCACACAAGTCGCACTATGTGTTCTGCACATCAGGGATCAAATTTTCTTGGATGGCATAGAGTCTATCTTCTATTGTAAGTACATATAAGCATATTGTTAATAAAAAGCGATCTGGAGTATATGCCAATGACAAAGCTAGAAAAAACAAAACAAAACGCTGTAAAAGATATCACAGGGTCGACATACTATCAAATCAAGTGTCTGGACTGTATACAATGCTCAAAATTGTATCGCTTTTAGAAAATGGAATCACTACGTATATTTTTAAAACCATGTTTCATTTTGAACAAATATTTGCATGTTATTTTTTCGACAGTCCCTATGGTGACTAAGTTGATTAGTATTGTTAGCGTTTGCGAATTGTAAATGTGCAATGCGTTTGATCGACATTAAAGTTTATTAAGATCTGAAACAAACCTAGCTAAACTGCAAACATATTCATGTACCTGTCGACCTCTTTTCTTTTGATATATCTTAAAGTAGTTTGTCCCCTATTGATTTTTTGGCTGATTGCAGATATTTGAGTATTTGGTTAATATTCGTCACGTTTCTAGACTGGGCCGGAAGATTAACACTGTGCATAGAAAATGAAAATATCACTTTAAATTTTTTTTTGTCCGAAGAGCTTGTCTAGATTTTACCTACATCAGGAACACTCAAATCCAAAAATTTGAAAACCGAGGATTTATAGATACCTGAATAGCATTATGATCAAAATAAGCCAACAAAGAATAGCCAAATTCATCTTAGGTCAACTTTGCTTGAGGGAGTTGGAACCTTAGTTAGTTTTTTAATCATACTAAACGGTAACAATTGTATTGAGCTGATGATACCTCAAGGAATAACATTTCACCAGCAGCGGTATTGACTCAGCATAGATATATTTTGAGACAGTATGTTGATCACTAGATGGCTTATGGTGTATTGTGTCGTACGGCTGCTGTCTGATTTGACGTTTTTGCAAAAACTTTCGGCACAGAAGGCACCAGATGAAGCTTAATTCTGTCGTACAAAACAAAAACAAATGCGTTTACTGTCATTTGGTAAACAAATATCCTTTCTACAGAACAGTCATGGTTATGAAATAAGGAAAAGGGATATGATAATTTCCAATGAGACAGCTGACGTAGATTTAGCAACTCTAGATCTGGATTAGAAGAAAAAAAGTGTAAAATTCTCTATACCAAACAATACTAAGGTTGATGTTACAATATTTTGTTTCAACAAGTTTAAACATGTAAGAATAATCAATCGTACTTACTACCATTAAATGTTGTTTTTTTACAGGTATGAAACTGCTCTCAGACAGAAAGATAAATCCGTTGTTTTACCTTACTGGAACTCTGTGCTTGACAATCAAAACATAACTGACCCAAAACAAACAGTCTTGTTTACGAAAGATTTTCTCGGCAATGGAAACGGAAATGTCACTGACGGCCCATTCAAGTACTGGCGAGATATTTACAATTGCCCATTAAACAGGAACATAAGTCGACCTGGATCGGAGCTTCTGTCACCAGAAATAGTAGAATGGATTGAAAATGATAATTCAGTTTTTCTTGTTGAAGATATTATAGATCATTTGGGGAGTGCAGAGAGAATTAAAACAATAGAGGGTCAGCACAATCTTCCTCATGGTTGGGTAGGAGGGATGATGGGTATACTAAGTTCCTCACCGAAAGATCCTGCTTTCTTTTTACACCATGCTTACATAGACTATATATGGGAGAAGTTTAGACAAAAACAACTAAGACTTGGAAAAGACCCTGAATATTATACCGGTTTAGGTGTATCAGAATGGATAAGTGAGTCCCAAAACTATAACTTGACACTTTTCCACAACCCTCATCGTAACATGGACTGTTTCCAATGGATGAAAAACATTGACGGATATTCAAATAACTTTACAGAGAACTTATATGTGTATGAAGATTCTCCTACATATCCTGACTGTGGTAACACTAAATATCTCAATTGGAACACTCTGCTAAATAGATGCATTGGAATAAACCCCGTGTCATCAGCAGTTCCACAGAGCATAAAACCTTACTACGTCCACTTGATTATAATTATATCTGTTTCCTTCATTTTGTTATTCATAATTTCTTTCTCGGTTTTTCTGACTCTTAGAAAAATCAAGAGAGTAACAATTTTTACGGTCTCTAACGAGGAACTAAAACCGTTATATAGAAGGTCAATTTCAAATATCTGATACTTTCAAATTATAAAACAAAGTATCACATCGATCAATATAATGAAAAGATAATCAATACTCTGACATACCTTTTCATTACCTTCAAACTTGTAGCAATTATTTTTTTTTAAATCTTCAATTCTTCTTATTTCACTTTCTAAAAATTGCCAACAATTTTATTTATTTATTGGCAGCTTTCTAATTTAAACAAATAAAGGCACAGACAACTGAATATTATTTAGCGTTGGTAAAAAACATTATATGTTAATATAGTTTATAGAGCTGCTTTTCGTTTCTTATATTAACAGTAAACAAGAGTTCACATGCTGAAATGTGTCGGCTGTTTTACTAATGATTGAATTTATTTTGAAAGTTTGTAATATGACGGTTTTACTACAAGTATAACATAAACTTAACATTCAATGATCCATAAAAATGAAGTCACGGTCAAATGAATCATGATAGACAGATATGTGCACCTTACAATCATTTCCTACACCAAGTATTGTGGTTCTGTCGCTAATATATAGTACCTGAGAAACAGATCAAACCACAAAATTCCTAACATTTACCAATGAATCTTAGTATGAACCCTTTACAATCATTCTATACACCAAATATAGTTGACCGATTATTTATAGTAACTGATAAAATGATGATCCACAAAAACCTATCATTGACCAATGCACCATGAAAATGAGGTCAAGGTCATACCAGACAGACATGTACACCTTACATATTCCGTACACCAAATATACTTAACCTATTGTTTATAGTATCTGAGAACTAGACAATACCACTACTAGAAAACTAAACATTGTCCAATGAACCATGAAAATGAGGTCAAGGTCAGATGAAACCTGCCAGTCAGACATGTACCCATTATAAACATCCCATACACAAAATATAAAGATCATATTGCTTATGATATCTAAGAAATAGACCAAACCACAAAAACTAAATATTGTCCAATGAACTATGAAATTGAGGTCAAGGCCAGATAAAACTTGCAAGTCGGACATGTACACCTTACAATCATTCCATACACCAAATATAAATGACCTATTATTTATAGTAACTTATTAACTGATGATCCACACAAACCTATCAGACCAATGAACCATGAAAATCTGGTCAAGGTTATATGAAACCTACCAGGCAGACATGTACACCTTACATATTCCGTACATCAAATATACTTAACCTATTGCTTATAGTATCTGAGAAATAGACCCATACCACTAAAACTAAACATTGTCCAATGAACCATGGAAATGAGGTCAAGGTCAGATGAAACCTGCCAGTCAGACATGTATACCTTATAACCATCCCATATACAAAATATAAAGATCCTATTGCTTATAATATCTGAGAAATAGACCAAACCACAAAAACTAACTATTGTCCAATGAACCATGAAATTTAGGTCAAGGCCAGATAAAACTTGCCAGTCGGACATGTACACCTTACAATCATTCCATACACTAAATATAAATGACCCACTGCTTATAGTATCTGAGATACGGACTTGATCACGTAACGTTAAGCTTGATCACTGATCCAAGAAATGAGGTCGAGGTCAGGTGAGTCCTACCTGATAGACGTGTAGACCTTGCAAGGAACCCATGTACCAATATATATCCTATTACTCATAATAAGACAGTATTTCACTTAAAAAAAACAGCATTCTTTTAAGTCACCGAACCATAAAAATTAGGCCAAAGACAATGGACATATGACAGACGGAAACTTCGTAACATAAGATATCTGCATAAAATTAAAGGTTTGAAGCATCCGTGTCTTCTAGCTTCTGAAATATATAGCTTTATACAAATAGTTTACGCCGTCGCCGCCGCCTTTGCCGGATTGTAATACCTATGTCTGGCATTCTGCGACCTTCGTCGCAGGCGAGACAAAAACTAAATCAATATAGCAATAAGTGACTATAATTGTTGTTTATACGTGTAATTGTTATTATGCCTTTGATCCTCTTATGGGTGTAATTTGTGCTTAATAAATATTTATAATAATTTTGATATAATGTATAAATTCATTATTTCGAAATTTTCATTTTATTGTTTCATTTATTGAACCTTTTTCAATTTTGAGGCAAAATCATTCTTAACACAGTGGTTTTCACGTTATGTCTTAGAAGTCACAAACATACGAAAAAACCGCTTTGGCTAACACCGGGGTTTCCTGGCACACATATTTGTTGCCTTGCCCAACACGCGTGCTTTTTGACTTCTTGTGTTGAATTGATTGAAGACTTCCGTAATAAACTGAATGAAGCTTTATCTAAATTGGCTAATTATGTTTAAATACATTTTGAGAATTTTTACATACTTAAAAGATGCAGAAAATACCATAGTGGCAATCAAAAACCATTAGTCGAAGAGCGTGTAGGACTTTAAATAACCCTACAAATACTACACAACTATTACTGCTACTCGTTCGTATTTACCGTCCAAAAAAGAAAAAAAAAGTTGCTCTGTTGGAAGTGAAAGATGGTGACTATAATCTTGTCTACATCACGTACATTAGGCAAACAAATTCATTGTGCGGGAAAACACGAAACTTGATGAATGATTTGATTGATAGATTGTTGTTTACTTAACGTTCAGTGACAAATGTGTCATGCAAATTATTGATAATCTATACAATACACACAATAGGTAGGTTCCTCAATATCAATCAACTATAATAAATGGCGAGAATATTCAGCTCAGAATATTGACTGCCACTAGAAATATATGATAGTTTGAATACTTGCAGAAATTTTTCCTTGTAACAAGTATAGTAGTTGCAAGTGGTTTTTATCTTGCAGAGAACGTGGTATTCTCTCTTTACTGGGCACCAGATTTAAAGTCTCTATTCCAACCAACGTGGCTGCATATTTATGATATATCCTGCATAAGGAAGACCAACAACTAAAATTTGAAAAGGTAGATTCCTGCAACTTACTACCCACACAACAACTACGATTACACGAACAGTGTCATTAACACGATAAACAAGCTAAAATGGCAATCACCAAATGAGGGACGACTAAACACTAGACATTATTTTATAAAGAGATCCACTGCTTATAGCCCTTCCAACGTATGTTCTTGAGCAAACCGACAATAGAAAAAGATAAATCCATTTACAAACATACAGACTTATGTAAACTTCCAAGGACACTTCCAAATGGTCTTACTTCCCTTGCACAATCATACACTGGCATTTTCACTCTAAGACCATTATTGGAACCACTTCTGTTTACAGCTTTTAATTGTCCGTTTATAAATTTAAGAATTATTGAGGAATAATAAGCTTTCAACTCTCTCCGTCAAAGTTCACTTAGCAGGGGCGGATCTTGCCATTTTCCAACCCAGGTTAAAGAGGGGGGGTTCAAACCATATGTCCCCATTCAAAAGCATTGATCGTCAAAAAAGTGGATCCGGTTGTTATATATCCTTGGCTTTCAAATATTCGGCTTTGAGCGGTTCTGTTGAAAGTAAATCCAGAAAAGCGATTCGGACGCAGGAAATTTATAAAAGGCTGTTTTATATTGTTTTTGGAGATCAGCTAGCTAAAACTGTTTTCTCAAGTTTCAAGTAACCACATTCAAACCAAATATGTACATAAAAGTTATCAGGTTTTAATCACAATCTATATATACAATCACTTCATTTATTTTATTCTTATTTGTATAGATTAACATGTCAATCATGCGTACGCAACAGCAAATATTCAGAGGGTTTACGCTCTGGAGTTCTCGCTACTTTAATTGTGTCAGAAAATTAAAATCGTTTGTAACTTCTTACTTTGCTACGTATTTATACTTTCCTGGTTTCCATGTGTTTAGGTTTGAGCGTTCCTGGTGAAGGTAAATCCTGACAACAAAAGAGATGTCTTATTGACAGCAAAATGGGCGTGTTTCACCTGCCAAGGTATGTCCCTTTTTTCCCCTATGTATCAAGGATCATACATAACTCCTGAACGGTAAAAAGTGAAAATCGTCAATATCAAACTAGACCTCCGTTTTTTTTCATAAGCAACAACATATCAAAATTTGAACAGCATGTTTGAACGGTTCATAAGTTATAACACATGAAACGATAGAAAGGGTTATTTTCCAATATATCAAGGGCAATTTCTCCTGAATGGTAAAATTTGAGATAATCAATATCGAAATTGACCTCCATTTTGTCATCGGTAACAGCATATCAAAATGTTAAAGATTTGCTTGAAGGGCTCATAAAATTTTGAACGGACGCTAATGGTATTTAAAAATCGATTCGGGCGCATTAATATAAATTGTATCAAGTGTTCGGGTTTTTTTTCTCCATTAAGCAGCAGGATTAGAGCATCAAATGTCACGCCTTTGTTGGCAAACTGCAAATATTGCTAAAAGAGTATCATTTTGAGATCTTGAGACACATATATAGATAGGAATCAAGATGTTCGCCAAAATGATTTTCTACAAGAAATATTTTATTCAAATCTCTTAACTTCTGTGAACAGCATTGGCAAGTATTTAATTTGTCAAAAAACTATGTATAAAATGCCATTTATGTCTTTTGGCAATAGCATTTTCCATTTTTCGACTCATGATTTTAAATATCCCTTTGGTATCTTCAGTCTCTCTTTTAAGGTCAAATTAGTCAATTTCGAGCTGTTTATGACGCCATAGTACCCCTAAAAGTGACCTTTCTGTCCTAAATTTTCAAGGTTATATATCAACTTGTTGATATTCGGAAAAATTTTCCTAAATGCTTTTCTAATACAACAAAAAGTAAAATAACAAACATACCGAACTCCGAGAAAAAATTCTAAACGGAAAGTCCCAAAGCAAATGGCTAAATCAAAAGCTCAAACACATCAAACGAATGGATAACAACTGACTTGGTGTCCTAGTAGGTATTTTCTTATGTAGAAAATGGCTGATTAAACCTGGTTTTATAGCTAGCTAAACCTCTAACTTGTATGACAGTGGCATACAATTCTATTATAATTTAAACGAATATGTTTCCTTTCAAAAAACATATAAAAAAATAAAAAGATCATAGAACAATTTGAAAAAAACGTATTCAACCAGACTTGGTAAAGACACTTTTCTCGGAATACTGGCTGGTTACAAACGACTTTATGACGAATTACCTCTTACTTCATTGACAGAGAGTCTTTTCATTAGTTTAGACGATTCAAACGAAACAAAATTACTCATTGAGTGAAAATTCTTTGTTGACAAATGTCGACGACTAGAAACATTTCTTGGTTGTTTATTTAACTACAATGTATTATTATAATTTTATTATTATGTCAACATGAAAAAAAAATCAT